ATAACTTTGATAGTGTTTCTGTAAACGTGTAAATATAAATAACTTTGGTAGTGTTTCTGTAAACGTGTAAATATAAATAACTTTGATAGTTTCTGTAAACGTGTAAATATAAATAACTTTGATACAGTGTTTCTGTAAACGTGTAAATATAAATAACTTTGATAGTTTCTGTAAACGTGTAAATATAAATAACTTTGATAGTTTCTGTAAACGTGTAAATATAAATAACTTTGATAGTGTTTCTGTAAACATGTAAATATAAGTAACTTTGATACGTTTCTGTAAACATGTAAATATAAATAACTTTGATAGTTTCTGTAAACGTGTAAATATAAGTAACTTTGGTAGTTTCTGTAAACGTGTAAATATAAATAACTTTGGTAGTGTTTCTGTAAACGTGTAAATATAAATAACTTTGATACGTTAGGTCAGGTAGAAATAAAAAAATATATGGTCAGACCTCTCTCTAATGGTTTTAAACATTCTACAGTCTTTGTAGATGCGCTGGATCATCATGTCATCCTGTGCGTACACAACAAAATCACACCAGTGCAATCCCGAGATCAGCATCTGACCTTGCACTTCCCAGTAATAAGCATGCTGTTGTTTTAGCTCTGGTGTGCCATTCTGCAACTGTAGATTATTTCAGCCAAGTGTTCAGCAGAGCTCTGCCCCAGTGCATGGCAAACCTCTCTAAATCGGGATGATGTTACTCGTGGCTTTCTAACGGAGTGCCAATCCATCGATGCACTCTGGTCTTTGGTAGCATGCTCAATCTTGTGTGCTGTTTCCAGAGATACTGCCAGTGACTTCACGTGCAGCAGTCCATGTTTGCTATGTACAAATAAGCACACAGATGGGTCAAGGTTGTAACCATCTAGTGGCAGAGGTGGTTGTGGTGGGGCATCTTGATGGGGAGTAATGTTGCTGGCTGTTGGCATGACAGAACACTCCCAGCCTGAACTTTACCAAAAGCAGAATCCACCAACGAATCATCACTGGACATCCCCATTGTGGTGACTAAAGGGGTTGTCGTGCTGGTAAAGTCCTTATACACCTCTGCCACTTGCAGGACTGAGAGGTCAGGCAGGTCGCTGGTAAAACCTTTATACAAGGTACTCCTGAAAATGAAAAATAATATTGAAAAATAAGTTGCACATTTTTACAGGCTCAGTCACCATTATCATAACATATAATATATGTTTTTGTGTTAAAGAAAGTAATATGGTTTTGGAATGAGATGAGGACGAGTAAATGCCATGACTTTTTTGTGAACTATAGTTTTGTCCCCATAGTAAACAATCCTATATTATACTTCTACATTAAGTAAGTAACTGATTGCAGTGTGCACCTTAAGCCATCAGCGAGTTTCCTTTCTTTAGGTCCTGCAGATATAACCACCATCCATGTATGTTCCATAGAGACGTGAATAATATGGTGTTGTCAAATATGGCTGTAGATTTGTGTACATCCTGCATAACACTGTCGTCCACTTGTCCGGACACCACCTCGCAACATTGTTCAAGGCATTGTTTGGGCACATCGTTTTCCTTGATTTCTATCTTGGACTTGGATGTGTCCTCCAGACGATTTGGAACTTGACACAAAACATTTTTCCTAGATTGGACCAGTTTTTTCATTTGATGAAGATGGCTCTCAAACTTGAAAGCACTGCAGCTGTCAAGGCTGCCAAGGTTTTGGGCATCTTCTGCAAGGTGCAGCAAGGAATGGACATTGTAAACCAAAATGTCTCCTCCATACAGCTCCCGTCCTCTCTCCACAAAATATCTCCACTGCTGGTTTGCATAAGGTCCTTGTGACTTTGTGAGATCTGGGTTCACCAAAATGCAAAGAGCCGTGCTGAAGCTCAAGAAGTGTTCATAGAGCTGGTCTTGGAGCAGTCCCTTCAAAACAATCTTCCCCGTGTAGATAGCAAACTGACTGAATGGTTGCTTTCCAGCAGTCTATTTCCTGCAAGCCCCTTGGCTTCCTGGCAAAGCAATCTGGAATGAACTTCTTTAGTGTCACTTACACCGGTCACATCTCCTGATGACTTCCAGAAATCTGTTCTCAACCTTGTCCACAAGAGCAGCGACTTTTTCATTACCCCGAGACAACTCTGGTGCATATAATCTATGGGGAATGATTTGATCATGTAGAGAAGGGTGAGATCTCCTCTTCTTGATGGTGTTCAGGTTGCCAGCATTCCCTGAATGACAGATCTGTTCTCATGGTCAGGTTATTTGTTTCTGGATATATCATTCGACCATCCCAAGATCCCCTTTGATCGCATTTATCACACCTACAGTATCCAGAAAACTGCTTTATACACTACCATAGCTTTAGCTGGAGCATCGCAGGTAACACATCGTAGTTGGATGTTTAAGCGTCTGCCTCCCCTGGATTAGTTCTGCCAACTGCTAAACAGTGTCAGAGACAAAGTTTGGTGTTTTGGGTTTGGAAGCAGCAGTGGATATGCACAGGGGGAAATACATTCTGGTGACAAGTTTTTGGAACAGAGAACTGGCCAGAGGGATACGTTTGAGCTTTTGAACATCGGCAGCCCATCGATGTCGCTGGGATGAGCTGAAGAAGTTTTTTCTACATTGATGATTTCTAAACAATCATAGTAAGTCATTGTGAGCGCGTCAGTGCTTAGAAAAAGCTCCTCAATATCTTGAGTCACAGGTAGACAAGTTAAGGTCCTGCGAAATGAATTTTGCAAGAATGGGGTTCTTTGGGGAATTGTAAGGGTAATTATGCGACAGTCTTGTTCGAGTTCTATAATGGCATTGCATTTTGTTATATAGTTGTACGTTTTGTGCAGAATTTCACAAGTGTGACACTTGTTTCACACTGAAGTTTTCCTGAGCTTTGTGGCATTTTGGACACCATTTTTATGCTTATTTGGGCCCTTGTTGGTTTTACTGTTATAACTGTAGTTGGGGTGATTTGAGGGCCCTGACCAGGTGGAAAGACTTCATCTTGTTGAATGAGTTCTATGGTTGTGCTGGGAGTTGTTGTGAGCTTCTTAATGTTTTTGGATTTGTCTAGTTCAAGTTGGGAGATGTGCATTTCCCAAAGTGTAACTATAATCTGTCCAGCTCAATCTTGGATAGAACATTCTTGAATTTCATAGTATCCATCCCAGGCCTATATAGTTGTTGGTATGTTTAGTTTGCAGATTGTTGCACAAACTTTGTAGACCTGAAAGTAAATACAATGAATAAATGTTTATTACTAGGGGGATAGAAACGACCAATGATGTGTACAGACCAGTCAATTCTTTCCTAACATTAAAAGGAACACTCCACTATTTTTTAAAATAGACTCATTGTCCAACTCCCCTAGAGTTAAACAGTTGAGTTTTACCGTTTTCGAATCCATTCAGCCGATCTCCGGGTCTGGCGCTAGCACTTTTAGCTGTAGCTTAGCATAGATCATTGAATCGGATTAGACCGTTAGCATCTAGCTCAAAAATGACCAAAGAGTTTCTATATTTTTCCTATTTAAAACTTGACTCTTCTGTAGTTACATCGTGTACTTAGTTCTTAAATAATAATTCAATCTTAGTTCATCTCTCGAGTCTTCGGGTTTGAGTCAACGTCTTGAGTTCGTCATCACGTGACTTTCCGGCTCAGACTGCATAGGTTAAGCTTATGGGGCTGTCACGTGATGAACGAACGACTCGAAAAACCCGAAGACTCGAAACAGGTGAACCACTTGACTAATTCCAGTACAGAACCTATAGGATGTTGCGCATGCGCGACTGAACGAATCACTCCCCGAGATGACTCGTTCTTCCCGAGTCACATTAAAGATTCGTTCAAAATGAACGAATCGTTCAAGAACGACCCAACACTAATACCTACATAATACTGAGCCATATAATAAAGGGCTGATTGATTTTTCACAGCATATCTCCCACGCGGCCATCTTGACACCTTTTAAAGCCAGGTGTCCCTTCATCATTTTTCTGTCATATGTTGGCCAAGTCTGTAATTCGTAGTTTGTTGGAGTTTTCCCTCTTTCCCTTGCTTTCCTTCACTTTTAAATAGCTTGTAATTGTCGAATTATAGCGGCGATTCAGCGTCAAAACAAACTCACTTAGCCTATATTAAACATAGAACTTTTATTAACAAAACGAGTAAAAATAAACCATGCTATAGGCCAAAAAAATATATATAACTTGCACACAGTTTAAATATAAAAAACTGAAAATCAGCAAACACTGTGGAACCGAGAAAAATAAACATGGAATGTACATTAGCAAAACGAATATGAAAGCTTGGAATCTGGCTTTTCAAAATGCAAAATTGCCTGTTCAGTATTTTGGATTTAGTTTCTAAACTAAATCTTTTGCCATCATCTTGTCTGTCTCGCCTCACTCTTCTCACGTGATAAATGAAATCTGACTCCTGCTGTTGATCTGTGATGCAACTGTCTTTCGGCATTGCGCTTAACACCGGTAACACCGTCAACACTGACTATTGCAGCAAACCTACTACACCTCACATCACTTTTTTACAGTATATACAGTCCATAATGCACACATCTACACACAAACCTTCCGATCAAGATGCATATTACCTTATTGTTTTTATTTTCTCAATCTTATTTTTATAAATGTTCTTTCTATTCTCCTGAATCATATACAGTATGTATGAATGCACCCAGGGCTCCCAGAAATCACAACAAATTTGTGCACACTTGAAACTCATTCTGATTCGGATTTATTCGGATACTGAACTTGTACATTTGGCTTATTACCAAAAACCTATTTTATAAAAGTGTCTGCTAAATAAAACACACTTCAAATTCAAAAGATTGATTGACAAGAAAAGAACTGAACTACGGCAACTCAACACTCTCTTACTCCTGAGAATCTGTGGAGCATTTCAAAGGTCCCCTGAAGTGCCTTGAAACACACAGTGTTTTTCTATGTGGCGACGTAATTTCAACTGAAACAGGAAGACAGGGCGGGACATATCGAGCAGCCCCACCCCCTTTTTAATTGAGCTGATAGTGTTTGTTTATATCAGCTCGGGTCAGAGCCGTTGAGCTCGGTAAAGCCGAATTTGACAACCACAGTCTAATAGATTACCCTCTAGATTCAATATGAAACTCTTAGTAAAACAAAATATTGATCATAATCATGCTGAGGCTGTGTAGTTTTAAAAGTGTTTAATATATGCCGACTCGTGCATATGATCCGCTCCGTGTGATCACGTCTCTGGACCAGAGCCAAAGTCCGGATCAGACTGTGCGCGCTGCCATGGTTCGCACGACACAACGTGAAACCAGACCTCATTTGCCCCAATCGAAAGCATATTTACACTGTCTGAATCGTTCCCTATCGCCTACATTGTTTAAGGTACAGGAAATAATACATTGTGAACAAGTGACCGATCTCAGCCGCAGCTTCAGCGTCTATTTATAGTGTAGGGGGCGGGTGCTTCGGCTTCTAGAGAGCATTTGATTGGACAGAAAGTTTGATGAGAAGCTGAAGTACGATGTGACATCAAAAAAAATCGTTGAGCCGTTTTGGCGGAAGTGACGAACTGCAAGCTTTGAATGCTTATATCTTCTAAATGCGAATTTTGTCACAGTTTTGGAGCACACTGCCTTATAGATAACCTTAAGAATATTGACTAACAAACTTTCATTTTGATTTCATGGGGACTTTTAAGGTCAAAATCAGCACTGAAACACCAAATGTATGTCTTCAGACGTCATACTGACGCATCCTGACATGTTAATCAGGGGTGACAGAACAGGGGGCCATAAATCTAAAGGCTGGAATACACTACACGACTTTTGCCCCGTTTTCCCGCCAAGTTACTGTCTGGAAAGTTAAGTTAAGTTGACGCTAGTTGCCGAAAGTCAGAGCCAGTTTGCAGATTTCAAAGAAAATCACATCCAGTCATCAGAAATCAAAAACGTTTGATATTTTGAGCCAATTTTAGAACATGCATTGTTTTTATTTGTCACACGACTCCTAAGAACAAGGCACATGTTTCTGAGTTTGTTGTGATCAGAACAACTTTACACGCTGGTTTAGTGTACGATGCCTAGTGTTTGTAAAATCTGTTTAGATGTTAAAGGTCGTGTAATGTATTCCAGCCTAAAGAAAGAAACTCATACAGGTTTGGAACAACTTGAGGGTTAACCAAGTTTGGGTGAACTAGCACTTTAAGATTAGTAAATGGCTTGTAATGCCTCATATGACTCTGAAACTCTTTCCTCAGGGAAGCATGTGATAGGCTTCACTTCACTGTGAACTCTCATGTCTCTCCAGTGTGAGTTGTTACATGATTCTTATATTCGTTCCCGTCCGTGAAACTCACTCCACACACAAGACACATAAAACAGTTCGGTCTTACGTGAATCCTCATGTGGGCTTTGAGGTTTCCATTTTGAGTGAAACTCTTTCCACACTGTTGGCAGGTAAAATGTTTCTCTCCTGTGTGAATTCTCATGTGGACTCTAAGGTTTGCTGGTTGATGGAAACTCTTTGCACACTGAGGGCATATGAACGGCTTTTCTCCAGTGTGGATTCTCATGTGGACTTCAAGGTTCGCTTTTCTTGTAAAACTCTTTCCGCATTGTTGGCAGGTGAAAGGACTCTCTCCAGAGTGACTCCTCATGTGGAATTTGAGGTATCCTTGTTGATAGAAACTCTTTCCACACTCATCACATATGTAAGGCTTCTCTCCTGTGTGAATTTTCATGTGTGCATTAAGACCTTGTTTATATGTAAAACTCTTCCCACATTGAGGGCAGGTGTAAGGCTGCTCTCCAGTATGAATTCTCATGTGGCCTTTAAGA